GATATTGGACGGTCATTGATGGTTGGCCATGTCAACCCACCTAACTCTTCACGTGGCACTTTACTTGTGAACATGCTGACAACCACCTCAACAATGCCGCACACACCAAATATAACCAATGCTGTGAACAACAGTAGTAAATAATGTAATATTTGACTCTATTAGATGGGTGCCAATGTTGTATTTGAAGGCAATTGGTAAAAAGTTTTGTTTTTTCAATAAAATGTACATTAGCTGTAGCAACATCTCTTCAGCCACTGTTTAATTCCTAAAAATTCTTTGCACATAAATTTTTGCGTGTCATTAAGTCAATAAGTCAATGTGCAATGGCTTTTTCAGTAATGAATTTTATTGGCTATCACTTACCATACCACAAGAAGTGTAGTTTGACAAATGAGGGTCTATTGTCCTCTGATCCACACCCAGGGGGAGGATAGATGTTGCCAAAGATAAACTTCATTAGTCCCATGATAAGACCGATGATAAGTCCAGATAATGCACCTGCCTTAGTCAAACCAGGCCACAGTATAGCCAGACCAAACGTCATGGTCAATGGAGGAGCCAAGTAGGATTGAATTGTCTGAATGTATACGAATAACTGACTACCATGGGCACCTATGGGGGAGGGGAGAGTGAGTAATAATCCCCTTAATACTTAACCTGTTTTGAGAGACTTATATGAAAAGGGAAAAACTATAACTTAATAGTTTAAAAAATGATGTAGTCACCTTGAATGATGGGTAACCAACATAAACTCACTCCAACAAGCACGACCACTACGATTCGTCCAACAATTACCTTTTCCCACTCCGTTGCCTGTAATGATAATTTTTTACAAACAAACTTCATAAAGTAAATAAATAAMAATATATTTTTGTCTGAAGTCAGMCAATCTTCGCTTGCTCATGAAGCCCCGTCTACGCGAGCAATTTTTATGTGGCAATTTTTATGTGACAATTTTTAATTGCCCGTGTAGACCCGGCTTCACTCGCGACTCAATCCAACACTGGGAAGTAAAATCCGCACTTCCGCGCGCCAATGTATGCGCCGTATTCAGTCTCTTTAGCACTTTAGTGTCAGGTCTKTTTGTGAAAACGGCCTCGACATCTGATAAGAAGTTTTCTTTGCAGTTTTTATATGTATTTTTTACATGTTTAAATGCGATTGTTGTCRTGGAAAAGAAAAACTATAAATGACAGCAATGGCGCAGCGAGCTAAAAAAAAGGCGGGAAAATATCAAGATCTTGACGCGCGTACGTACAACAGGCAATGCTCATTTATTATAAATTCGCGAAAAACGTACTACACGCCAGTTGCTAGTTGTATACAATACCTTTGGTCTTAACAAAACCCAAACATCAACGGTGAATATAGTAGCACTGCTGTTGAAGGCTGAAGACAGGGATGACATTAAAGCAGCCATCATGACTGCCATCATGAGACCGACAAGACCCCTTGGTAAGATGTTTAGCACAAGTCTGAAAAGAATATGTGGCTTTTAAATAGTATTAATTATGATAACAATAATATTTATTACATTTMAAATAGAATTACACGAAGGCGTCTTCAAGAATTGAACTTATCTACGTGAACCTTTGCGTCTCCAGTCCGGAATATATAGGCCCTTTGCAGCTGGGAGTTATGTGACTACACCTASCTTAATGACAAAATGATGTTAAGAAATGGAAAGAGGGGACCAAAATAAGTAAGAAGAAATAGTTTCAAGTCTCAACACTAAATATTTCAAAAATTCAATGGCAATTATAAAATCATCTTTTTTTCTAAAGAAACATATGCAATAATATAACAGAACTTCTATTTTCCCATACGTTTCTTTAGAAAAA